TACTGGCTTGACATGGGCAAACACAATCAGTCCCATATAGGCTGCCTACATTGGCTCAAGGTAGTACCCACATGGGTAATCTCTAGTGTAGTGATGGGTCATTCATGATTGATCTGTTCATTGCATCTGTCACGTGACAAATTAATGAAAGACTCTGAAGGTAAAGTAATTATTTATGTTCCCTATAAATTATTTTTGGCTGCATTATTATGATTTTCTAATTTGGAATATTATCAAACAGTCTAGTTGGCACATGACCAACCTTCAAAGTTGAAATATGATTGTATCAACGTTAAACAGCAACTGACATTATTTCAAAGTACACAATGTTGATATAAAGTTTAATGCTAAATCATTGAAAAATGTTTTTATCAAAAGCAAATCATTAAACAATTAAAATATCTATGTTGAATCAATGTCATGTCATTAACAAGAAATATCTGCCTTTTGAATTATTATGATCATTAATATTTTATTTATTAGCATTTTATGATATTTTGATCAAAACATCTCTTCAAAAATCCAAATGTATATGCACAAATATAATTATTGTCATTAGTAACAAGTATAATTGATGCAGTTTTAATCTCAAAAGAGCAGTGAGATTTTGTGTGGATTTACAATTTTGTGTAGGTGCCTACAGTTTGCAATTCATTATTACATTTTTATTCATACACTGAACTTAACAAATAATACAGCCTAAAAAATACACACGTTTCTTTAAAAAAAACCTCTTTACTTTCGTTACCACTCTGAAACAATTGCAGTTGGTTGTTTCACCTGGTTGCTTTCATCGTGATTGGCTAATCTGACTGTCATCCACGAAACTGGCCAATGACAAAAGTGCGCGGCTTCTTACTGGTCAGGTTTGACAATACGGCCGTTTGGTGCTGTGTGTTTGCCACTGACCCGCGAGATTACTCGGTCCCTCAGCTCCTGATTATGTGCTGTTACATTCTTATTTTAAACTAATATGAGCTGTGACATGTCAACGGAGAACAGATGCTGGAGTGTGAACACAGAGGAAGGGGCAGACTGTATATCAGGTAACACAACATTCTTCAGTCAAACCAACGCAAAGTTGTGTTTTGTGTCCATAATTTATGTGAGTGAGAGGTTAATCGCGATTAGCGTTTAGCTAGTAGTTATGTATTTCAATGCAGCGTCCGAATGAGCTGTGTTTGTATTAATGTCAGCTAACTTAGTTTAAAACTCAAACTCCTGAGAAGTAAAGGAACATCGGAATAAGTACAGTGAATGAGAAAACTGCAATTTACACTCGGAAACACATGTTTTATATTTGTATGCTTGTGTCGATGACAGTTTCGGAGTAATTTTTATTTCACCTCTTCAAATACTGATAACTGCTAATGATAAGATATTGGTTTACATTTTTAGATCAAGCACAGAGATCACCCAACACAGAGACTACACAGATGTTATTCAGTTTTAACCGTTTCTAGACCTCACATTGGGATTAATATCTTAATACTGATAACTGCTAATGATAAGTTATTGGTTTACATTTTTAGATCAAGCACACGTTTTTCAGGGAAAACAGGCACCCAACACAGAGACTACAGTAAGATGTTATTCAGTTTTAACCGTTTCTAGACCTCACATTGGGATTAATATCTTAAGTATGATTCTAATCATAAGTACATTTGTAAGATGTTTCCTCCACTGGTGAAAGAAAATGAGTAACTTTTTCCCCCTGTTGTCTGTCTTCCTCTGAGGTGGCACAAGAAAAGGGGAATAGGACTTGTCACCATCATCAGTCCTTTATTTCATTCACTGGAGAACATCACAACCTTCAGATGTGTCCTATCAGGATAAATGCTGCTGCAGGGGAAATTATATGAAGGTTGGTTTGATTGTGGTTTACAAATTGGCGTTTTTAAAAAAAAAAGCTACAGTTGTTTACCTTGCTATGATATCTATGGAAAGGGTCCATTTTTGTGAATCCTTTGTCTTTTTTGGGGGGATGCACATTTTTCTGATGGGATTGTCATGCATTAGGTTTAAACTTTGAATCATTATTTACAGTTTTAAACCTGAGAGTTTGTTTATGTTGTCTAAATGGCTTATAATGTCAAATGGCAGTACAATTTAAATACGTTTAAGATTGTTTAAAAGAATGTTTAAAAAAAAAATCATTCTTATTCTTACTCCAGATTCTCCAAGGATCCAGCTGAAGCCCCGTTCACACTACAAGTGACACGCAACGTCAAAGCAACACGATCCCATTCATTTCAATGGAGAGCTGGTGATTTCCGGCGACAAGAGCAACAGAGGCCGTTGGTGACCAGATGACACGACAAAGTTCAGAATCCTTCAACTTTATGCAAATGAAGAGCGACTTTCAGGAGCGACAGCCAGTAGGAAAGAAGATGGTAGTTCTCCTCTCAGCCGTAGATGAACATACGCAATGGGAAAAAGTAGGTTCTGTTTCTCATTCATTTTTGTTTGTATGTACGGATTTAATTTGTATTTGTTATATATTTAGTATTTTGCCTCCAAAATGTTTGTAATTAGCGGCAAGAAACCTGATTCGCTGTGAAGGCAACCAGTAGTGAGAACGCCCAAGCAACCTCATCGCCAGCCCGTGAACGCAGCTTGATTACTGGCCACTTGGAGGAGGATTGTCCTTTATCTGCTACACTGCACTGTCACTTCTGGTATGGATTCACTGACCTTTTGTGATATGCGAGATGTTTTGATTTTACTAAATGTAATAATTTTACTTAATTAGATTATACATAATTTACTTAAAGGGACAGTTCACCCCAAAATGAAAGTTCTACCATCATTTACCCTTCATCACCCTTATGTTTTTCCAAACCTGTATGAATTTCTTTCTTCTGTTGAAGACAAAAAGATATTTTGAAGAATGGTGATAACCAAACAGTTCATAGTAGCCATTGACTAACAAGACATACAGTAGTAGGAACACAATTACTGTGGAAATCAATGGGGCCCGTCAACTGATTTGGTGAGTAAATGATGACATAATTTTTATTTTGAGTGAACTATCCCTTTAATACAATGTATAATTATGATTTATTATGAATTAAGTGTAATGTTTCTCTAAAAATATTATCAGAAATATATGGAGACGCATCTATTATCAGAAATTAGAGCTGCACGATTAATCGTTAAAAGATCATAATCTAGATCCAAACCCCATTTACTCTTATTCCTAAATGACAACGATTGTTGTTGTCGCATACTAACACCGTGTCTACACCAGACGTGACAGTTAAAGTCTGTCTGCTAGACGTGACAAAGCAACCGTTGAAAATCATTTAACTATGTGTCAGTACATCATAATTAGAACGAAGCATCAGTTTGCTGTCGGGGATTTATCATGTCGCATCGCATCCAGTGTAGACAGAGTCACTGATTATAATGGGTTCTATTGCATTTAGTCGCGGCACGCTGCGCTGCTCTGGTGTCACTGGTGTCGATATGGTGTAAACATCCATTTGTTTTAAAAAGCAAACTTAACATATGTCTTTTTTTTAAATCCTAATTAGGAGACGACAAGCACACAAAGTTTTGTGCTGTGCTACTCATACTAACCAAGCAATAAACACCCCTTCCCATGCTTGGTGTCTTACAGATCAGAGTCCGAAACAGTCACTTGTGGGACAACGTTGTCCTGCAGCACTTCAGTCAATAAGTAGAAAGAGAATTTTAGATTGACATGGCAGTCATTTATTATATTCTTTAATATAATATTACAACATCAGCTCATTTTGTGCATCAAACATCATTTCTACTTCAATACACATGCGCAAAACTTTTCTAGTTCAGTTTTCAATTTGATCAAGTGTTTACATGTTCTATTTAATGGATTAGAGAAGGTTTATCTCACCTTTCTAAAGCAATTGAAATTGTAATCGGTTTGAGCATTTTTATTTCAATTGATTTGTTTACATGGAGCTTTTTCAGAGCACAATGCTTCATGTCAATGCACCTACTGATCCAGACAGAGAGGGCAGTTGTCATGTGTAGGTATGAAACGGTGTCACAGTTTTTCAACAACACTTATCGCTTTTTGTTTTTTTTCTGTGTTAGAATTATTCAAATGATCACAGAAGTCCTGGGATAAAAGTTTAGTTTGGATATAAACACTGATGTCTACAGTAGCGATCAAAATAGAGCAAATCATTTGAAAAAGTTGACACTTCAGATAAAGATTATATCAGTGACGTTACACCAGTA